CCACCAGTAAACACCCCCCCCACCCTCCCGCCGACTGGTGGTGGGGCCCGCTCCGGCCCCTCAGTTCCTGCTGTCATGGAAGTGTTCCACCATGTGTCTGTCTGTGCAGAGCACTCTGATTGGCTGCCGAGACAACCAACCAGAGTGCGAATAAAGCTTTATGGATCGACAGACAGACAGACAGACAGACAAAGACTTTTACAATATTAGAATTTTTTTCATTTTGGAGTTTGTATTTTAAAGTTCTTTCAGCTGAAACAACAAAAGCTTACTTTATTATAAATTACCGGTACAAACAGGAAATAACGGAAAGCAAATAATAATAATAATTTGTTTCTGTTCCACACCATTTGAAAGGGTACAATGGAAAGCTTTGTAAAAAGGGTATCTTATATTAAAATTTATCATGTTCTTAATGATATAAAAACCATTCACCAACACCAAAATCTGGTGGCATTGATACCAGCCATGGTTTCCTTCTACAACAAAAGGTAACAGGTACAAGACTCTCTACCATTTGACTTTGGGGCCCAGGAAACTGCTTATGCAGAGTCAACAGTCCCCGATTCTCAGCACTGGACCTGGTTAACCAAGAACCATTGTGTTTAAGCTGGACCTTCAGGGCTGGTTTGGAAAGATGCAAGCATATACTTTCTTTGTACAGAACTGGGCACAGAACTGCAGAGCAAGTGATTCTCCAGAGGCAACTTCTGGATCTTCCATACAAAGTTCAGCTAACCCAGATGGATCTAGGAACCTCAGTGTTGCACATACTGGACACAAAACCAGATAAGCAGTGCAAGGACCTCAGCATAAGATCCACTGAACCAAATGGATCCGGAGACCATACACAAGTCACACTCCAAAAGCAATTGCCTTATAGCACCAAAACTGATAAAGCAGAACAAACCTAGGGATTAGTGTCAGTTTTACCAAGTGGACTATGCTGAACAAATTTCAAAATTCAACATTACATTTACAGTGCCTGACTTGGATGACCTAGCCTCAGCTTCCTCCAAAAGTATTCAGGCGAAATGGCCTTCCTACTTTTTGTGGCGCCAAATGATGCCTGTGTCCTATGGGTCTCTCTCTCCCACCCACCCCCACCACTTTTAAAGAAAGCTGACTACCTATAACAAACAGCTTCTAATGGGCAGAAGAACAGGAACTGAGGGTACTTAAATCCCAGCTAACTACACCTTTGATAATTAGGAGAAATTAAAAGGTTGGGGCCACACCCCCTTTTGTGCCCTCAGAACCATCCATTAGGATGTATAAGGCTGACTGGCAAAAACATCGTGGTCTACCACAAGATTTGAAGAACTGGGAACATGCAGGAATCATATAAAAATGATTTTTTTTTTTAAATGAAACATGGACTTTTACAAGTTGTCTAATGAAATTCACAAAAGGGGAGTTCATTGATATTTTTCAAAAGACTGAAAATATTTGTGGAAAACTGTCAAGATTGCACAAAGCACTATATTTGGGAGGAAAAAAGCCTTTATCATATATTATAAAATAAATTGAAAAAAACCTGAAGAGTCTTAACCAACTCCAGTGACTAGTCAATTTCTAGTAGTGTGCAAAAACATTTTCCTGGTCCACAAAAATTTCATAATTTTTCCCCCTGTCCTGATTCAGGATAAAATCTTTTTAAAAATGTGTAAAATAACAATGAGGTTAATAAAAACATTGTTTCAATAATTTTAAAACCTTTCATTTATCTTCCTCCATTGTAAGTATAAATTACAACTTTGAAATAAACCCAGAAACCTGCTGGTTTTCAAGGCACATTATGAACCAGAATGTTTTGATATAAATTACAATTGTTTCCAAATGAAGGATTTTTATTATTTCACTGAAACAAATTCTCTTTTTGTTTTTGCAAATAGCACTTGTTTTGATTAATTGACTTTTTCCAATGAGAAAACACTATATCAGAAAGCTCCCAGACAGGTCTTTCAGCATCGCAAATACTGCTGCATTACACTAGTTGGCCTTTCAGGTGGATTTTTAAATGGTTCATAAAATATATCTGCAAGTCTTTTGTCATGCAAGAGCTCACTTTTCCTAGACCAGAATTTTGCTCCCAATTTAGTCAGTCAGAGTTCACGAGAAACTTGCTTACTTACGCAGGAACGTTTTCAAATTCTTCTGCTGTTATTATGGGCACTTCTTTAATAAATTTTGGCTCTTTTACAGATTTCTTTGCACGTTCAGGTTCTGTGCTGTTGCTCTGTTCTTCAGACTTTCCAGATAGTCCCGTGGTACTGTTAAGTGATTGAAGATTACGTATTTAAGTGGATAAGCAAATGTGCACACAAGAACAAGATGCATTTACTCAGCAGTAGAAATAAATTATGGCTGATATTACGTCATACAACCAAAAATATACAATCCCCTCCCAGGATTTTTCAGGAAAAAAATTGTCTTCATTAATCTATACCATAGTTTACTTCATTATATTACTTTTTTTTCTGTTAGGCTGTGAACAGATAAATTGAAAGCAATTCAACTGCAAGACAGAGCAACTAGAATATCAGTATGCTATTGTATTTCACAAAACAAGAGACTGATTCATAATTTAGTCCTGACTCACAAAGATGAACCAAAACATAGAGCTATTAATATAAACCATCCAATTCTAAACACCTTAAACCTCTTGGAACCATAGGTCTAAATCTTGGCAAAGCTGACTCATCCACTTACTATCTGATCTGTTGAATGAGATCTGAAAAGCCAAGACCTACATGAACACTAAAAATCCCACAGAAACTCTGTATGGATTTGCCCCCAATTCCAACCCTCCACTAGCTCAATATCCATAGGGAAAAAAAAATCTCTCCTCTTCCGCTGTCTGCCTAGATGCTATACTCCTTTCTATACATCCTAGACAGCAATGCACAGAGAAGAAGTAATTTCACTGATTTATGTAGTGTTTGCTAAGTGCACATAAGTGCTAAGTTATTCTATGGGGGTGAAAAGTGCTGTGTAAACATAAGAAATGATTAAAGCAGTGGTAGAGGTCCAATGTTCAGTTTTGGCCCATTATACAGTATCTCACCATAAAAGACATCTTGTAAAAGAGCTGCTCTCACTCCTCCAGCATTCTGCCATTATGCCCAAACTCTAACCACCCCTACACCTCGGAGCAACCACTGACCCACCAGGCCCTCAAGTGCTTCTGCTTCAGACTAATCTTCCTCCATGCTGCTACGTGCTCTGCTCTTGTTAAATCTCAGAGAGGCTATGGGGACCAGGGAAGGTGGCAAGGAAGAGAAAATGATGAACCAAAGACAAGAAGGGGCAGGACAGTGGAAATAGAGTCCATACCAAAATCTGGATCTAGTGCATTCCTCAGGGCTCCTGAGGGACAGGCAGCAGAGTGAAGTGCCCTGAGCAGTGGGAGCTTGTGGGGCTATAGCCACCCCAAAATTTACCTTAGCCTCCCTATAGCCACCCTGCCCAGTGCAGTAAGGTTGAAAACCCGTGCTTTACTGAATCAAACATTTGGGGTATCATGGTACCCTTCTCCTCAGGGAAAGTCCTTTTAAAGCTGCAATGTGGGATGGAAACTATGGGAAATTCCAAAGCAACCAGCTCCAGGAATAAGGAAACAAGAACCCACAACCCCCTCTCCCCATACCTCATCATCCCCTATCTTGGTTGGAGAGCAACAGTGGCAGCTCAGAAGCAGGGGGCAAGAAAGCCCATCCCAACACCTGCTGATCCTGCCAGCACCCCCCTCCCAGTTGAGCCTGGGACCCCACTGCCCACTGTCAGTAAGAGGGAAGTGAAAATGAGCAGGTGGCTTTCCATGACCAGTTGGAAAAGCAGGGGAGTTCTTAGGGGGCCCCGCTCTCTACCCAGACCCGCAAGTACCATGAGCATTGTGTCATATCTCTTCTGCTCCCCCTGGCAACCCTTCTACGCTTCACTGTGCTCCTGCCCCAAATGAGCCTGGGACTCTGCCAAGTGGGGTCCAGACTGTTCCACCCACACACCTGCGCACCCCCAGTCAACCAGACAGATTTGGGTAAATCTAACAATGTTCTTCATTGAACTCAAATCAGTTAATGTTTTTGAGAAGCAGGAGCCTCTAGGCAGGGATCCCAGAATCACTTGGGGTGGGAATAAGTAGCCAGATGTTCAGAAGGGGCCACATGGCCTCCTATTTCTGGTTTCCAGGGGGCTGGGGGCTTTGGAGGGCCCCCCACGAGAACTCAGTTTTTTTGCCTGCACTGGTATTTCTATCTCCCTGCCATGGGTCCCTTTGGGCTGAGAGTTGCATCTCTTTTGGACATGCCAACTGAAGTCTTTCTGGTTTGACCTACTGACAAGCCAACCTAGAGTTTCTATTTTAACCCTCAGTAGCTTCTTCAACACAGTTCCCTCCAAAGGGGAAGTAAATATAGGTACATTAACTCAGATAAATCAGCTGCGATCTGTTTGGGCAGAATTAGAGCCATAAATTTTTATCCCCAGTCTGACAGATGCAAAAGAACTAGATGATTTTGTAAAATGCTATGTTGAGGGGGCAGGAGGCATATCTTGGGAAATATTGCTCAAATTACAGCAAATCTGACTTGCTTCTTGTTTCACCTCCTTGCTATCCACAAGGCACTGAAAATTTAAAGAGTCTGATTCAACAAAGGAATTTTAGAGCACTTACAATACGTAACTTTTAAACAAAACATGACACTAAGCTTTAAGTATAGCAGTACTGGTTTTCAGCTCAAAACACCACTTGCTGTCACCGTAGGAGGTTCCCTGTAGAGCTCCCATGCCATTATTGGCCTGGCCTCCCACTGCTTTTTCTCATGGGATCACCATGTAAATAACAATACCTTGTAGCAACCATTACCACTGCAAAGCTAAAACATCCATCGTACTTTATATACAACTCTGGGTCCCAAAGTTTTGCATTTAACATGTCATATTAGCAGTACAGTAATTTTCACACAGCCCATTTCAACGGCAGTAGGAAATTCATATAGACAAGTATTACATACCAGCTTTGGTTTGTTTTGGGTAGGTGAGGAGGCATATTTTCACACAGGTGCAGCACTTCATTATAGTCCCTCTCAGCAGACTCCTGGATCTCCTGAAATAAAGAACACTGGATTTTTTTCAGGAGTTTGAAGTCACTGAAACATGAATCAAATGAGAGTCTAATGTCTAGAGGGCATGAAAATGGTCTTTATCAAATACACTGACTGACAAACTTTCCCAGTTCTGGGCTATTTCCTCTAATCCCAACAGCAATCAGTGGAACCCAAAAAAACAACTGCTTCTCATTCAAAAGAGCTGATCCAGATAGAGGGGAAAGACAAAAAAAATAAACCTGGCTGCAAAAGTGCCACCTGCACTAGAAAGTTTTACTAATAAAACTTCCCTTCTTTCAGAACATTTTGGTATACAACCATACTTATATTATGTGCTCTATATAAAATGCTGAATTATGTCAGTCAACCTGACACCTCATGGATAGCCAAAAACTCTTCAAGACCCAGACAAGCCCTAAGGGAAGAACTCAAAGAAGTCAGAGAGGTGTTTTAGTGCATGGTGCTCTTTATCCCATTTCTCCTCCCTCTCTAGCTCTCTGTCTCTTTCTCTACCCTGTGTGTGTGTGTGTATGGGTAAAGCATAGGGACCTACTGAGTTCACAGCAGAAACGGGGCACACTGCGGTCCTTTAATCTTTCAGGTTGCCCCGTGTACCCCCTCCGCTGCTGATTGGTGGAGGGGTTCCACTTACAGCTTACTCCTGATTGGCGAGGAGGCGAAAAATGTAGTTTTAAATATGGCACCACTGTTGCCTCCCACCACTGATTGGCTGAGGGCCCTGCTGCTTCCTTCTTGCTTGCAA